AAAAAAAAAAAAACATTTTCAACAGTCTAATGCTGTCAATTATATGACTTTAATCGATAGGGTTAGGTTGTCGAATATAGCTTCCAAAAATTAAAAATCATTATTGTCAGCCAATTTCTATAGATTATATTCATTATCGATAGATATTGGCTGTCGAATATGCAGTTATATTCGACAAAAAAACTAGCTGTCGATTATACTCATTATCGACCCCCATTTATACAACATATATGGTTGTCAATTATATCTATCGATTAAGTTATAATCGACAAAAATATGACTATATTCGACAAAATTTTCTGTCGAATATACTCTGTTTTCCAGTAGTGTAGGATACAAGTTAGCTATCTTATGAGCAATATCATTTAAATTTCGGCATACATATTTGAAAGAACAAGAGTCAAATAATCTGATACGTTCCTTAAGATCTTCAATGAGAGCCCCATAAGTTAGATAACACTCATCTGAGGAAGCTACCACTTGAACAACATTCAGATTATCCGATTCAACAATGATACTGCTGCAACCAAACTCTTTCCCCAATTGAACCCCAAAACAAATTGCTAGGATTTCTGCATGAGTGACGCCACCTTGAAAGCTCATGGGTTTTTTGCCTGCACCTAGGACTCTATCGTTGCTATCTTGAAGGACGACACAAAGACTGACCATGCCTGCTTGATGTGGAATACTAGCATCAACGTTAATTTTAACAACACCATTTAGCGGTAGAGTCCAAATTGTTTCTGCAACTACAGGATTATGTTCTGCCTCCAGCAATTGTTCATCTTCTATTGTGGTTGCAACTTTGTACTTTTCTATATAATGTTGAATATCCCGAATACTCCTATCTGGTGAGAGGCAAGTATGGTTATAGATGCATTTGTTCCTGTTATTCCAAATATACCATAGAGTTATAGCAACTATGTCATGATTTGCTGTACTCATTACAAGGAAAAATTCCAAGAAGTCATCCAAAAATGAGTTATGCTGAATAAAGTGCAAAAAGACCTTAGGAAGGACTCCTTTCCACACTGTCTTACTCCATTCGCAATCAAAAAAAAAAAATGAAAATAAGATTCCTCTATTGTACTGCAAATACCACACCCTAGCTCAACATCAATACCCCTCGAGAGTAAGATATCACAAGAGGGCAAAATCTCCCAGATTATTCTCCACAAGACATGCTTGATTTTAGGGGAAACATTTAAAAACCAGACTGTTTTCCATACTGGTAGTAAGACTTGGTCATGATCATGATGCTCAAAACCAAAGGTCAATTGCCATGCATATTTGTATGCTGATTTAACTGGAAATTTGCCATTATTTGTTCCAAGCCATATTAATCTATCAATAGAATAGCTTATACTAAGAAGGATGTGAAGAATTACCTTAGCATCCTCGGCACAGAAAGAGTGCCTAACTGCAACTTCCTTCCAACATCCTCTAGCTTCATCTATTAATTCACTGATTCTATCGTCCAAATTGTGGTGAACAAGAGCCATCTATGGCTAAAGAATGGCTCCTAAGGGTAACCAATTATCCCTCTAGATCCT